TTTCGGCCTTGTTGTAAACTTCTTGTTTTTTTTTTTTTTTTTTTTGTTGGGAAGCAATGTCCTGCAGCTCACAAAAACATTGACGTATCTTAATTAATCGGTACTTGCTTCATTCAGAGAAGTTTCTTTCGGGAGAGCAATTCTTGTGTCCCAGATTTTAAACCACCACCCAGTACTTGACTTTTAATGGAGAAGACCGCGAAAACTTGACTTTTAATGGAGAAGACCGCGAAAATATGGGCGGAGCTAGGATTCAAAGTTCGGAGGGGGATTTTTTTATTCTACTGTTTCGAAAGTACGATAAAAATTAAGGAAAAAATATTTTTAATATTATTATAACTAGCATTTTAGATGATTAGAGTTATTCAAAATAAGATCAATACTACAACTTATTTTGTGTAGACAAACTCAAAAAGGTGAATATGTCGTATCCATAAGTTTTGTTTATGACTCCATTAATTTATGTGCTTCTAAAATTAGTATTGATTTACCAGTTGCAGTTGCAGTTGAAAGTGCATAAAATGCATTTCATCTTTGAGTTAGAGACGAATACATAATTTGAAGGGGGATTTATTTTGTTACTGCGAAAAGACAATAAAATTAAGCAAAAACAATAATCAAAATAAATTTTTAATATTATCAAAGCATCAATTTGAATCCATATAATAAGATAAAAGTTAATGTGATGGATAGGATAGAAGGATTCCGACCACTGAGCTAGTTTACTTTCGTGTTACAAGAATGCACAGTAAACTATTTTATAACCCATCAGTTTATACGAAATTTTCAAATACCGATATAGTTTATACGTAAGTTCTGAAATTCTCTCGGGGGGGGGGGGGGGGGCCCTCGAGCCTATGTGTAGCTCCGCCACTGCGCGAAAATGAAGTGTAACCATAAGCTCTAATGAACTTGTACGAACTCGAGTATGGTATCCTGAGACCAATTGCGACGTGTTTATAGAACTTGACACCGGTGGATTTGACGCGATTGGTCAGTGTTGTACGTGAGAACCTGCTCCTTATAACCTGTGTACAATCCATTGACATCAGACTTCTGTGAGCGCTCTCTCATAAATGGATAGTAAGAAAAATTGCAAAATCCAGCTCAGATGACGGCAGGAGCGGGCCTAGGTTGCCTAAATAATTCGTCAATTGACAGACTTTGTCCAAATATTTGGACAAAATTCCTTTGTAAATTTCATTTCAATGATGGAAGTACTTAAAGTCAAGATTATATCGACAATCCTTGATGATTTTATTTTATCGTTAATTAGCACTTGTGTATTCATGGTTCCACCGCTGAATGATGAAGGGAAAAAATAGAATGAACTCATCTTTGGCTGCAAAATGATTCAAGTGAACAAATGAAAACGTGGTTAAATTGTGACTTGGACACGTGTACACCACGGGAACTAGGGGTGTTCAAACGGTGTGGTTACCATGGTAACCGTTTTAACCAGTACTATTTGAATAATTTGGTTTGGTTAATTTGGATAATTGGTTTGGTTTGGTTAAAGCTTTTAGCTTGTTTGGTTTAGGTGGTTTGGTTTGGTTTCATGCACTCCTAACCAGCCAAACCAAATTAACCAGATAAATAATTAGCCATATATCTAATATATACACATACTTAATACTTTGAATAACCACTCAAGAGTTAAACGTTCATCCTTTTAAACTCATAAAATATAAAGCTTGATATTGTTCCTATAAGTATATTTGTATATGTAGAGTGTAGACCACAACATATTAATGCCTAATTTGGATAAATCTCATACATTATATTGGATGAAAACTTGAAAGCAAGGTCCTTTTCAGCCTATGAAAATTGCTAAGTCAATTCAAACAAACACTTTTTTTTACCGGAATTCAAACAAACACAACAATTCATTAACCCATACCATTGTGATAAAATTTTGTTAGGTGGATACTTCTATACTAACCATAAGATAATTGTCTTAGTTGCATGTATTTATGTTAAGGGTCAACTATAACTATGCGTTGATTGTTAAGTTTTATTCATTAAATTTTTTTTATGAGAATGTTTTATTCATTATATAAATTATGAATTGATAATTTAACCGAAAATTTTCTCACTTAATGATAATATGATTTTATATTGGTTAATTTGGTTAACCAATTAACCAAACCGATTAAACTTTAGTTTAGTTAATTTGGTTGTTGTATTAATTTGGACGGTTTGGTTATGACATTGTATTTCCTAAGTAATGAAATTTAATCTTATTTAATTTGGTAATAACCATGATAACTATTTGAACACTCCTAACGGGAACCTCGGATTGTTGAAACAAAACGTTCGGGACCCGGGTATATAGACGCGGAGTAGTACAAACACGGACGTACTAGTTGGGCCTTGTCCCTGGGCCCATCCTGGGCCGCCATCCGCAAATGAAATTAGAACACTCCTCTAAGGAAAACAAAGTCAATTTGATGATGTATTTGTGACCGCCGGGCGCAGGCGTAACAAGATTTAATAAATCGGAGGGATTGGTACCGCCCGCCGGTCGGTCAGGAACTCATTGTTTCCCAGTCAACACTCGCTACTTACTACAACCCTTTGATGCCAATCAACAATCATCGCTTGTTTCGAAAATCCTTAAAATTAAATTAATTGCTGGCCAAAAGATTCCTAGTCGTGGAGTGGGCGAGCTCACATGTCACTGGCCGCCGGCCGATCGAATAGCCCACTGGCGAAACAGTACGGGAGATTAAAGCCATGGAACTTCAATTAATAACAGGGATTGTTATTGTATAATAATAATAATGCACTCTGTTTTTCGTGCTCTTTCATAATGCTTTTAGAATAGCTAGTCGTTGGCTAAATGTTAACAGAGAATAATCCCATCCGGCCGGCCGGCGTCTCTTTGGATATACGCCCTGGCCTGTACATTGATCGGAATTTTATCAGCCGGATTTGATCCCGTAATTATGGGATTTAATTTACCTGATCACTTGCCGGAAAAAGGTCACTCCAGAGACAGACGGAGTTTTTGAGTCAAACAATGAACCAACAAAACGAGGCGACGTAGAGGGGAAAAGGAGAGTAAACGGAAGCAAGCACACGCCTTTGGCTTTGACGGCTAAAACCGTTAACGGTACGGCCATTTTGCACCAAACTCGGTGTCTATTGGATAAGAGCAAAAGGGCAGAAGAAGAAATAACACGCTCTCCTTCGCTCAATTATCCCACGCCACTAGGCCACTCTGGTGGGCCCACCACCACTCCCTCTTAAAATTCCTAAACTTGTATCTCGCCATTAAGAATTTAAATTATCATGATAATATTAATAATTGTGATGGATGCCTTACCAAAACGTTAATTCAAGCTGAATAAATTAAAAATATATATATATTAAGCAGCTGCTTTGGGTAACACAACCACTGCTAAGTGCTAACTATAATCAAGACCATACGCGATTACATATGAATTCGTCGAATATTCATAAAATAGGATTACCTCGAGCTTGAGCTTATAAGCGTAATACCCACTTTGTTGCCCGTTCCATTTACATCAAGGTTGTCAAACCGGTTTAAGTCATTAAGTCGGTCAAGTAAGGGGTTTGAAGTTTAATGGTCCGATCGGTTTGAGCCGTTTTAGGCGTTTTCTAAATATATATATACAATTAAGGTAGTAATTAAAGATTTAATGACCGAAATAAAATATATATTATATATATACCTATTAAAAACTTATTTTCACAAAATAAATCTATTTAATCTCCTTGACCCACCCACCATTTCCCTTCCTTCGTTCCTCTTCCTCTCTTCCCCCTCTCTTCTCCTCCCTCTTTAAGGGTGAGACTGGGAGGCTTTCTGGGAGCCATTTTGAAGCTCGACTCGGGTTGGACCGAGTCCAACCGAGAATTCGATAAAGGTTTAACGACTTTGATCTACGGCAGGTTGTTAAGGCCATGCAGAGATGTCAATCCAACCCGTAACCATGGGTATCCTACCTGACCGTAACCGGTCAACGAGGGTAATTACCCGCTTTGACGGCTTAAGGGGCGGGTACGTGTAATACCCGGTTTCAAAATAAAGGGTAGGGTACGGGTATGGTAATCGATAATACCCGCCCTGTTATACCCGCCTCGCTAACCAAAGGGTCAATTTCCCTAGCCCTAACCCTAACCCTACCCAACAATCTATTTTCCTTGCCACACACAAGTGAGGTGCTTGCTTAGGCTCTTCCTGAAACTTTACTTGCTTGGGATATTGACACAAAGGTATCTACGATTACCTTGGATAATTTTTCTACTAATGATGCATTGATGGATGTCATGAAGCATAAGTTAAGCAGTGAGCATTTGATGTGGTCTGATTCTAATATTGTCTTTGTTGTTTTTGTTTATGTGTGGATTGTTGAAGCTAGAACAAATATGATGTATTCTGTTTTTGTTTGTGTGCATTGTAGAAGCAAGAACAATTATTATGCGTTTGCTGTTTTTATTTGTGTGGATTGTTGAAGCTAGAACAGTTACAAGTATTGAAAATTTTTAATGGATCATAGTATGTATGTGCATATATGTGTATAAGTTCATACTTTATGATTCGTACTCATGGTTACCCGAATACCCGTGATTACCCGGTAGATAGGGTATGGTTATATTATTTTCATACTCGATCAGGTATTTTAGAAGACTTTACCCGACGGATTAGGAATTGGTATAAGATAAACCCGCACCCGACCCTACCCATTCCAATCCCTATGGCCATGGGGATAAAGAAAGATATTTACACCACCCAACATGCCACTCTTGACTCCTCAAAAGCGCAAAACAACAAATCAATCATTATTAATATTAAAAGAAAGAAAATACAATTCAAGAAGAAAAATCGAAGCAAAATTTCTCTGACTTTGACGACTTCCCACTCAGCAGTTATCCATCCCAATTCCCATTTGCCCGCCCCCCTTCCTTTCCTCTTTTCCACTACCGCACCCTCTACCTATATAAACCCTCTCTTCTCCCCCAATTTCCTCAATTCAAAATTTCCCCTCATAAAACAAAAACACAATCCAATCACTTCGCAGTAAACCCAAAACAATGGTTGCTCTACAATCCGTCGATTCATCATCAAATTCAGGTTCGTCGGCGACAATCTCCGCCGTCCACCATGACGTCCTGAGATCCCACATCCTAAACCGCCTCGACGGCCCCGCTCTGGCCGCCCTCTCCTCCGCGTCGCCGGACCTCCGCTCCACGATCTCCACCGACGACGAACTCTGGCGGAACATCTGCGCCTCCACGTGGCCTTCCGTCAACAATCCCGAACTAGCCTCCCTGATCCCGACCTTCAACCACGGCTACCGCTCCTTCTTCTCCGACTCCTTCCCGGCAATCCACCTCTCCGGCGCCACGGGGAATCCGGATCCGGAAATCACGGGACTAATCTCCGCCGTCGACATTTACTACGGAGATTCCCCGATTTTTTCGAAAGTCGCGGAGACGGAGACCGTGACGTCGTGGTTCCAGACGGCGCCGTTTCGAATCGAGCTGCTGGAGGCGAAGGAGGTGGTCCCCACGGGGATCCGCGACTACTCCGCCGGTTCGGCGGCGGCTGGGAAGGAGGCGGAGGACGCGTGGCTGAGGCAGCTGGAGGAGAATCTGCGGGTGAGCTGGATCGTGATCGATCCGGCGGGGAGGCGGTCGGCGAATCTCTCGAGCGGCGTGGCGGTGGCGGCGCGGCACCACTGGCTGACCGGGGAGGTCCAGGTGAAATTCTCGACGGTGGCGGCGGAGGGGGCGGAGGGGGAAGGTGGGGAGGCGGCGGAGTGCGGGGTGGTGGTCACGTGCGGCGGGGAGGAAGGAGGGGAGGTGCACGTGCGGGATATTTATTTGGGGATGGAGGACATGGAAGGGCGGAGCCTGTGCGGGAGGGACAGTTTGGGAATTTTGCGTGGGGCGATGGAAGGGGAGCGGCGGCGGCGCGTGGAGACGAGGGAGGAAGGGAAGGAAAAGTACGAGAGGTTTTTGGAGAGGAAGAGGGAGTGGAAACGGCGCGTTGAGAGGAGAGAGAAGGTTCTCGATACGCTGTGTGTTGCCACTGGGGTCGCTTTTTTCCTGACGTTCTTGGCCTTCCTTTTGATGTGAGAACTAGGGACAAAATAGTCATTAGACACTTTTTTATAGTGAAATTTAATTTCATTCTGTGTAAATACTAAATTAAATACATTTCAGTAAAGTTGTAATTTTTATTGCAAAAAATGTCGAACCAATACTTTGATCGATGTTGTATTGTACATGTGTGTGGCCACGTAGAATGGAGCAAATTGTTTCGATTTTGGATGACCGAGAATCGCTTGACGTATGAGCTCACACTTTGTTCGATGTTTGGTCGTTGAACGATTTGCGTTGTATTTAGTGATATTTGGTGAACATGATAGCTCGATTATCATTGTTTTTTTTAGGTTAAATAATAAACGTGTCTGTACTCGTGACACATAAGAAAACGTTTGATGTTCACTAATTAATCGGCAATTGCACGTTATGTTATGATTGATTTGATCGTGATTTGGCTGGGGGTGGTCTAATTTTGTTTTCCAAATTATTCTGGATGCAAAGTGCTCCAACTCACCGGCCAGCTATGGATGTTGGCACGATGTGATGGAGCTTTCGTGGAAGCTACTCCATGATTTTCTATTTTGTGATTTTGCCATGACAGTGGCCGGAGTTTTCTCTAGTTTAGAATAATACTTGCTCTATCGACATGTGATATCAGGTCATAAGCTATTAGTTTAGGCCAAGGTTGTCAAACCGGTTTATGCATGTCAGTGTGCCGGTTTAGCAAGTGGAATGGTTCAACCGGTGGTACATACCAGTTTGAGCCACCGGTTCATGCCGGTCAATATTACAAATAAAATTATAAATACTCATATTTAAACATGACATTTAACATCAATACCTAAACATTTATATTTGAATCCAACAAATAACATCAATATTTAACTTTTATACTCATAAAATAAATAATAAAATAATTTTTATCAATTAAATTCTCTAAAATAAGGTCATTTTATTTAGAGATTCGTATATCGATAATGCCGGTCATACCGGTGGTATCACGTCGATTTTATGACCGGTACCGATTAAACCCGGTACAATATTGGCACGCCGGCCGGCGTGACAACCATGGTTTAGGCTTTTAGCCCTTTTTCGAATATCCCAAATTCGGCCCTGAACAATTTATTTTCTTACATTCTCTTACTATGTATGTACCGTAGGATTTGACAAAAGCACCGGATGGATTATTGACGGGGAGATTGGTATACTTTTTTTTTTGTTATAAGATTGCTATATTTTGGTAGTAGTATTTCAGTCATTATCATATAATACAGATAAGATCATAAGATTGTTACAAATTTAGGGTATACGATACTGTAGATATTTCCAGAACCATGAATTAATATGAGTTCGGGTATGATGATACTATAACATAATCTTTTGATATATGATCTAGAGAATTAATGCATGAGTTTTACTCACAAGTCACAAGGACTTACGATCTAATATCATAACTCACACTCTGATTAATTCAAAGTGTAGGTATCATTTTCTTATTAAGGGTATATCTTTTGAATGTACTTCACGTTTTCAAATGAATTAGAATCATTGATTATTTTTCTTTATGAATTGATCTTCAAGTTAGGATTTCAAGAATGAGTAAAGTCTATCCCTAAGTTTTCTAAACCATATCTTAACATTAATTTAATGAATAACAATAATCAACGTGTTTCTGATTCATGAAATATTAGACATACGGGCTAAATACATCATCTTATGATGTCTGATGTACCGTCTATATAATTAACACCTATGATTCTTCACTCACTAAAAAAATAGTAACACGATAAAAAAAAATTCCAATGAATTCATATATGCAACCTCCCTAGATTTATATAAAAAGTCTTTTCCCGTTTATTGTTCCAGAACGCATAAATCATAAATGTCGACAAAAAAAATGAAACCTTTTTTTTTCCTGTCGGGATTTGGGAAATACACGTGTGAAGTCCACAGATCTTGTATTCATAAAAAACATGACACGTCTTGTTCTTCCATTGCATTGAGCATGCCACTACGCATTCTCCAGGTCCAAGTGTCGATATAACAAGATACATAGTCATGATCACGTCCTCGTAAAAGCACAGAAGACAGGCAAAAAAACCCAATAATTATCACTTCGATTGATGGCCGCCGCCCTCCCAAATCCCAAGGCCCGCGAGTTGCTCCTGCGATGTCGGCTTTCTTCTTCTTCTTATTATTATTTGTATAATAATGCTCGTCTTCAAGCAGGATAAGGATCGGTGAGGCGGTCGGTCCGGCGGCGTATTTGAAAGTTATGCGCAACGAATCCCGCCTTCCACCAGCGTAATAGAAATATCCTGGAATTTTATGTATGGGCTAAAGCCTCATTTGATAACAGATCCAACAGAAATATGGGTGGTCTTTCAACCCACTTCTAATGGGTTTCCCAGTTACACATAACATGGGGTGGCCATTGCATGTGCAGCCTGGTTCCCTTCTCGTCGCCCAAAACCTCCACTTAACCGAACCGATTTGGTTTGCATGGGTTTGAATCTCCACGACGCGGGCACTTTGTCTCTACTCTTGAAGTCTACGTCTTTTGCAATTTGAGGATTGCATTTTGGCCAGAAGTTACGCTCCCTTTCGTACTGCTGCCATGACGAATTGCCCAGTTGAATCACGAGCCACTAGCCCCGTCCCACCATCTTTCAGCACCGCCGCGTCCACATTAACCATTACCCAGCCTTCCGGGTGGCTTACTCCAGGTGCGTGGTTCTTCCAATCTTGGTTGAAAAAGGAGTTGAGAGAGTTTTATTTACAGTACTCTAAATTATTGTCGGTTTAACATACAAGTCGAACTTGTATCATGACTTTGCAAGTTGAGTTTATACGACAATATATTAATACAAAGTTAAAGCTATACCATATTATTGTTATTTGAGAGAATATCTTCTCTTCTGGGAATATTCACTTGTCCATTATTCAGCTGTACTAATTACATGGCAAAAATATTTGTAACCGTGGATATCTGCCTGAATCTGACTTAATCGGGTAGGGTAAAACTCAAATCCGAAAGACTTTTAGTGGGTATGGGTAAAACCCGAACCCGAATATTGCGGGTAATGGACGGGCATGATTTTCTTACTATCCAAACCGAACCCGCCCGAGTATACATATGCGTATGTAATTTGTCTATAAATAATAGTTATTTTTCACTAACATATTTTATATTGAGCATATAAATATAATATTTTAATGAAATGGTGTTGTTTTAATTAATTTTCTTCATTCTAGTGAAAGTGAATTATTGTCATCTTTTCCTCTTATGTAATGTGAGAATGCGTGGGAATGTTTACACATTGGTTCGACTTATAAAGAGAAATTACCACCCATGGATAATCGTGGATACCTGAAACCCGAAGGGGCATGGGCATGATTTTGATTTTCTACCCATTTCTTATATGTGTATGGGTATGGGTAAAACCCAAACTAATTTGAGTAGGGTAACAGATACGCACTATCCGCCCCCGACCCGACCCATTGCCATCCCTAGTACTTACTTTATACAAAAATTACTCAGAATATTCTCTTTTTTTCCCCCAAACGATCACTCATAAAAAGAGGATACATAATCGATCCAAGTTTACAACCAAACTATCTACTATTGTACCAGGCTACATAATCAAACCCCCTTTGAAAGGAAGGTGACAAACTCAGAGCACGACGGGCCACGAAATGAGCCACTCTGTTGAAGTTACGACCTATGAAAAGTACTTGCGAGTCTCCAAGATCACCTAGTAGGGAGAGAATCTTCTGCAGTATAGCACCGATCTTGCCGTCCGAAGTGTCAAAGTGACGACTTTTATCAATAACGACCTTAGCATCACCTCCAACAACCACATTACGGAGCCGGCGACGCACACATTCCTGCAGACAGTCACGTAAAGCCAAAGATTCCAAAATATAAGGATTCTCAATCCCAGCATAATGTTGAGCCTTTGCCACCTGCAGACCTCCAGAATCGTCAAACAAAACAAAAGCAGCCACCCCTGCGGAACCTGTTTTCACAGCAGCATCAAACATAGCATGACACCGTGAACGAGGACCTGCAGAAGAAGAAGAAAATGGAATTGCAGAAGCAGCTCTACGTGGTTGAAGAATAGCCATGTCCACCTCTTTAACTTGATGTTGCCACTGTGCTGCAAGAGTAGGAAGAAGAAGTTGCTTATGCTCAAAATGAGTGGAACAACGATTCTTCCATAGCCGCCAAAGGAGGCAAACAATCTGCAACGTAAAATAATCAGGATCCTCCCCTGTTGCTGGCTGTAAAGAATGGCGAACAAACCCAACAAATGAACGCTTCTCCCAAACGAGTAGATGTTGTCGCATACTGTTGCATACCAATCAATGACCAAAGTCTTCTAGCCACAACACATTGAAAGAACAAATGTTCAATGGTTTCCTCTTTCCGACCACACACAGGGCAAATAGGAATTAAATCAACCCCACGAGCTGCAAGCGCTTCCCTAGTTGGTAAAATGCGAAGTAAACACTGCCATAGGAAGAACAGTAACTTCAGCGGGAGAGACCTTGTCCATACCCACTTCCAGAGCCCTTGATCCAAGAACGAAACACCATATTTCTTCTGCACTGGTTGCTGTAAGGAAAAAGCCAAATGATACGCTGATTTTACTGAAAATTCTCCCGAAGATTCATAATGCCAGACCACCCGATCCGGAATCCTACGAATCGGAAGTGGGATAGAGAGAATAGCAGCAGCCACGTCCGGATGAAAGAAGTGACGCACATTGGTAGGGCCCATTGGTAGTGGACTCGACTGCATACAAGCAGGCTAGTTCAGCCCGGGAAGGAATATGGCCAAAACTGACCGGCCCAATATCCCACGATTGCCCGCTCAACTGGCTACCGGCCTACCGCAAATCAAACTTCTTTCACAGTTGCCGCCAACAAGTCTCATCACAAAGTCATTGACTCATTGTTACATCTTACAAGAGAAAGCTCAGGGTTGGTTCCATAACTGTTACATTCCAAAAAAAAAAAAAAAAAACCCACAGTGATGGAAGAATACCGACACAACGATGCCGATTCAGAGAAATTTACTAGCTATTCAACATCAATTTCTCCCAACAGTAGCCTCTCTGGAGATGATACATGGCCTCCACGATCATCTACCACTCGGTTGTCGCAAAACACCGGTACTAGGCGAGACCGCTTGATCAAATTCGGCAGCTCCTCCATCGTAAATTTCGACGAGCGATATTCAGCGCGAAACGAGAACTCGAGATCACTGTAACCAGTACAACAGCCACTACCATCTGCGTTACTAGTTTGACCTTGAGCAAACTGCTGGATCTTCTTCCAGCCGGAGCCACCATCGGACCATATCAACAGGCCGTTTAAGCGTTGACACCGATGCTCAGCGCCATCCCACACATTCATAATATCACCCCCTTGAATCTGTGGATACCATTGCCAACGGCTCGCCAGGATTTCAGCCGCGACAGCAACATTGCTGCGCAGCCAGCAGTCGACATGGTATCCCAGCACATTATCAGCACTAGTCGCGATGCCTGCAGATTCAGCATCTGCAGGGGAGAGCTCGAGTAGAGCGCTGTACATTACTCCCCTTATCGCCTCCCATGGCTGCTGCAGCAAAGAAGAAGAGGAAGTAGAAGACACCATCCTTGCCTCATCTCCATTCCATTCTGCTGGGATTATAACACTTCGCGACCCTTCCCCCGTGAAGTCCACAACATCATGAGTGAACTGCATCAACACATCCACGAGAATCAGCTCATGCTAACAATTTTGAGCAGAACTACATTTTTTTTTTTTTGTATTAGTGATTTAGTGTTCTGTACTGTTACCTTTCTGACGAGCTTGGTGCATCCGTCTCTGTCAAGTTTGGGACATTTTCCAAAATTCCACAATTTTGTCCTCCTGTGATCATGCTTCTCAACGCCGGACAACATTTCGAGTGTTTGGCAGCCGTAAGCATTCATATAAGCCAGCCCTGGAGGAAGCTCCGGCAGAGAACTCAGTCGACAGCAATTACCCACATCCAGGGAACTCAAAAACCGCGAGTTGCAGATATTGCTGGGTAGGCTAGCAAGGCTTTTACATCGCTGCAGCTTCAATATCAGCAGGGACTTAAGATCCATGATGGAGGACGGTAGCTCTGTGACTGCTGTATTGCTTAAATCAAGAACTCCCAGTCCGACTAGCTTACCGATGCTACCGGGAAGGGTCGACAGCTTCGCGCATCCGCTTAAGCTCAACACATCCATACATTTCATGGGCTGCAAAATATCAGGGAACTCCTCCAGCTGTGTGCATCCGGAGAGGTTGAGCCTACGAAAGGATTGCAGCTTACAGATGTCATCCGAGAGATGAATGACTCGTTGGTTTGCAGTAAGATTCAAATCCTCCAACTTGGGAAGAAACCCGAGTTCAATCCTTCCTTCGATCGCTGTATTGCCCAAGTTTAAAATCTCTACGCTTGGGATGACTGGAAACTCTGTCAAGTTCGAGCAGCTGTAGCAATGGAGCTCTGAAATCTGTGTGCGGGGGAGAAAATCAGGTACAGATTGGATCATGGTACCACTCAGGAGTACCAATTTCAAATTTGGAAGTAAGATAGATGCAGTTAATGTTGTGCAATGTAGGTTCAAGTTGTTGAAGCCAAGGCTCTTGCACTCTGATACATCGATCTCTTCCAGTTTGGGAAGTTCCAGAATCGACACGGGAAGCTCAACTAGGGTCTCACACCGACCAAGCTTGACCCTCTTCAGTCTTTTCGCCGTCGAAAGATCAGGAAGCTTCTTTAGGCGTTCGGATCCCTCCAGATTAAGGAATTCCAGATTCCTCAAATCCTGGCAAAATTGTAACATCAGAAAAGAAGTGCTAATTTACATAAGCAATATAAGTGTAACAATGTATGTATATGCACATACCACATAGTCATGTTCTCCTTTCCAAAGTTGTTCAACGTTACTGTTAGGCAAATCAAGCGAAACAAGATTCTCAGAGAAGAATTCGGATGCCAAACATCTAGCCGGGAAGAATTCCCAGTGAAGACATTTCAGCGCAGTGGGCAGTGACTGCAGCAGACCATCGTCTGCAATAACCAGCTGCTTCGACAACGGCCTTCTAGTTTCCCCACCATAACGAATCACAAGGAACCGTAGATGGTACATTTTAGTAAATGTATCACCCGCCATGTTTATCTTCTTAATCTCATACTTGAGTTTCGACAAATCCCAGATGATGGCTTCAATCAGATCAGTCCCCTTGTTGTACCTGAGGAGATGATATATATCTTTTGCTTCCCACAACCTGGAACGCTTCCCAACTCGACGTTCTTCACTAACGACACCACGACCGAAGTCTTGGAGTAGCCTGTGCATTGCTACGTGAACTCCGTCATGAGATTCGTGAATGCGCAACAAAGAGAGATCACTAAGGTTCGTGAAAACGTTACGAGCGCTACCACCGGACTCTGCATAGCCTCCATCTAACAGCATTCCTTCTATCTCCTCCAACTTCCACCAATGCAATTGCTCTTTGAAACATGCAATGTCAAGAAACGCACTCTTCTCGGCCTGGTTTAATCCATCGTAACTCCTCCTTAACACACTTTGAATCCCTGCACGGTCCGAGCCATTGAGTTCATTGTCCCAAAATGTTTGATCCCTGCCGTACAAACGTGAGCCCAGCACGATCAGAGCCAAGGGATTCCCCCCTGAATAGCTAATCGCGTTCCTGCACAACCACTCATACTCGATTGGCGGGCAATCGAGCTTGAACGCGTGCAAGCAGAAGAGCCGAAGAGCTTCATTATGCTTCAGAGGCGGGACTTCATACACGTGATGACACACATTTGATAACACTTGCTTGTTCCTGCTGACGATCACAAGTCTACTCCCTGGTCCAAACATATCACAGTACCGCCCGTTCAACAGATTGTTTAACTGTTCGATGTTGCTCATACCATCGCCCACATCATCGATCACAGCGAGAACCTTGGTGCGACTGAGGCGAAGGAGCTTCAAAGGATCCCGCACTCTGCCTGGATTCTCGTCACGCAACAACTTAGCGAAGAAGTCGTTCTGGAAATCGTCAAATGGTTGCTTCTTCGACTCGCTCACTGTTTTGGCGAAGTCGCAAAACAAGTCGCGAGCCTCGAACTGAGAAGAGAATTTGTTGTAGATAGCTTCAGCCAGGACTGTCTTGCCAATACCAGGCATCCCCCAGATTCCTATTGTCAGATTGTCATGTTCGTGTTCACTTCCCTCCAAGCACAGCAATGGTTGGATCTGGTTCACCCTTTTCTCAACGCCCACCAAGCTATTACCACGGTTCCCGAAAGAGTATGAATCCGGCATCGTCTGATTGTGTATTGCTTGGAATACAGCCTTGGTAATTTTTTGTATTAGTACGGTCTCCGGCCTGAAGTAGTAGAACAAACAGACATGCTTATCAACGGATCAACCAATAGTCAAATCATTTTTTACACTCATAGCACAAGATTGATTACCTTTCAACACGTGAATCGAAGCCAGAGTATGCAGCAGCCTTACTCAACGCAGCTGTCCAGCATGGCTTTTTCCCCGACGCCTCCGCCGGCAGCCGAGAAAACGCCGCCCCGCAGCTGCCGGTTAGGGTTTCGACCTCAAGAGGGTCAACCCCGTCGTAGAAAACCGGAATCACCCTCCGTCCGAACTTCTCACCACACTGGACGATCGTCTCGAGCTCCTCCAAGCACCATGGGGAGTCGGCGTAATTGAGGGAGAAAATCACGATGTAGACGGCGGAAGCCTCGATCGCCTGGAGGAGGGCGGGGGAGATCGCCAGCCCTCTTTCCAAGTCGACGTCGTCTTTGTAGGTCCACAGCTTCTTGTAATTGTGAAGGTAAGAGTAGAGATGGCTCAGGAAACTGTTGCGAACGTCGCCACCCCTGAAGCTGATGAACACGTTGTACTTTGGTGGCAGAGCATCATGATCAGAAGCAGGGGAGCTGCTGCTCGTGCTATTGTTTCTGTTGTCGTCGCCGGAAGGAGGAACGAACGGAGCAAGGCGGCGGGCTTGCCGGAGGAACAACGGCCAGATTATGTGAAGCAGGTGGCGGGAGAAGAAGATTAGGACTAGTGCTGGGACTTTCACGAAGAGGGCAAGGCAACGAAGCCACCACATGGCTGGCGTAGTAACAAGCTGCAAGCTTTTCAGGCCCGGTTGCTGCGGAAAAAGAGTAGTTGATGTACAGTTGAGAAAGCTAGTGGAGATGGAAAGGCATTGTTTCTTCCTCGTATTGAAAATGACACGAGGAACAATATAGTAATGAGGCTGCAGGATAATGTATTGAAATTCTTCGTGCAGAAGTCGACATATTACTTTTGCAATGGCCAATTGTTGACGATGGACCAATTTAAAGTTAGTCCTTTTGTTTTAAAACCATGGAGTTCTGTACCTTTTGCTCATATGAACAACAAATGCTATCAAATTCCATGAAATAGCTAACCATTATCACAACCAACATGAAATGAGAACTCCCATGGCTTAATGAGAATATGCATCTTTGAAAAGAACAGACCAGATCGCATCAGTGTCTGTGTTTGTTTGATCCATAGATTCCAGAAGAATGAACCTGTTCACAAACTATTCATCCTAACATTACGCACAGTTATACAGAAATTCGCAAGCCCAAACACTCTTTCCAGGCCCATCATTCATCCAAAGCCCAGCAAGGGAGGGGGAACATCCAAAAGGGAAATTGAGAGGATAGCGTTCTTTCTGCCCAAAACCAAAGAGAACCCCACTTTATCCTTTCAATTCCGACGTGTCGGAGCTCCATTGATCCAGCAGCCATCCACGCAATCTTTCTCTACTTCCCACAATATCTCACCCAATACACAAAAATCCTCCTCTGAAGAAGAAAGAAGAAAGATAATTACATCATTGTTGCTGTTACTCTGAAGTTGAACAAAAGAATTCTCAGGAGAGACGAAAATGGCGACCACCGCATTTGCCACCACCACGTCGACGGTTGTGGGTTTGGGCAGCAGCTCCCTCTCATCCTCCACTGCCCGGACCTCCAAGAGACTCTCCCTCTCCTCTGGTACAATACTATATGCCAATCGAATTTCTCCATAACTCTTTCTCTATGAGATTGAGATCTCTAGCTGATTCCTGTCACGTTTCCCTTTTTTCCCTCTCCTCGCCGCCATCGATTGAAGGGTTTCTGAGGTCGCCGGTTGCTGCCGGGAATCCCCTGAGGCTGGAAGGTGCTAACGGTGGCAAGTTCATGTGGTATGTATGATTTTAAAATGAACAGGAAGTGTTTGATGTATTAATCTATCCCTTTTATGGCCTCTTATGCTTTGTATGTCTGTTTTGCTTCGAATTGGGGAAAGCAGTAGCTTTCAGAGGGATTGGCTGCGTAGGGATCTGAACGTGATTGGGTTCGGGCTGATCGGATGGCTTGCGCCGTCGAGCATTCCGGCGATCGACGGCAAGAGCTTGTCTGGGCTCTTCTTCGAGAGCATCGGGACTGAGCTGGCCCACTTCCCCACTCCTCCTGCACTCACTTCTCAGTTCTGGTAAGCCCACCAAAACGGCTCTCCCCTTCCTCGTTTCTTTGGGTTATCGGCCCATGGGCCAGTCTGAATCTAATGGATCGTAAAAAGGAAAATGAAAAGAGGTTCCACCGAGATTTGAACTCGGGTTACTGGATTCAGAGTCCAATGTCCTGGCCACTAGACCATGGAACCGGATTTTGTTCAACTAGATTGACTTATACTTACTCTTCAATTTTTTTACTAGGTTGTGGTTGGTGACATGGCACCTGGGGCTGTTCATCTGCCTGACATTTGGACAGATTGGATTCAAGGGAAGGACTGAGGATTACTTCGAGAAGTGAAATGGGCTGCTGGCTGCTGCTGCTGCTATCATTTTTACCCCATCTGTAATGTGACTGTAATCCGTGTCTGTCTGCTCTGTTTTATGTATATGTTAATGTTAATGAATGGACATTATGATAAAATCTTCTGCTACTTCAACTTGTAGTCTTCGATCTCCTCGATGTAATCGACCAGGCAAGCACTTTTGGTTATGGAATGAATGCATTTGTTGATGATTTATGTTATCAAGTAAATGTAGATCTAATGTTACAGTTCTTCCAAAAGCCAAACATAAAAATCAAACCAATCAATCTAACAGAAGAAGAAAAAAAAGCGGTCTTCTGAGCAACCAAATGAGATATCTGATTGTTCGGCATGTCCATGAATCACATCTTGTATTTGGAACAAGACTGGAGTAGCCATCGGATCTCTTGGAGCACGACACCGCACCTTTTATTTCTAGCAAACATACAATTAATTAATCTTATTATCAATCACCACTTTTGCATCCCCTTCCGATATCACAACGAAAAAAACCCTACATGCCAGTACCACCAAAGCCAAGCCATAAACAATCATGGCACACTCTTGTAACATCTCAAATGACCATTCCTGCAGCAGAGTGAGAGCAAATGGGATATTCATATAACAAGATGGGAAATGCGTTATTATACGACAATAGAATCATATGACCAATGGGTTAGCGAGATCGAGATGTGAATACTTAATTAAGAGAGGAGCGACAGTGAATCCACCTAGTAGGGTAGTGGTTTTGGTCCAGAATGATAGGGAGGACATAATTTCTAAAGAACCATAAGTCTCTTGATAACTAGGGATGATAGTTAAAATCATGATCAAGGGAATTCCACTCCCTGCGACCCATTCAACACAGAAAATTTTCACATCTATTATGTATGAGATGGATGCCAATAAAATCCTCAAAAATATTGGTGGGAATGGAGTAGGGGTGGTCGCAGCCTCCTCTATCCACAGTTCCGCACTCATATTATAACCATCCAACCAGGCTTATTTCTTTTTTCGTTGAATCACCAGGCTTATTTCTATATATGTTATAAAACTAATGGAAATGTAAGCAACTACAAAAGAAGATTGGAGGAGGAAAGACACAAGAGAAGTGAGGGGAATAGTTCTTCTTATTCATTCACCATTTGTGATACAATAGTGTGTTCTATTTATAGGCACCCTTTGATAACCATTACATCTTTACATCAATGCATATGAATTAGAGATAATAATATAGGAATGGGAGTTACATGTAACTCCCAAGTGAGCATCTAATGTGGTAGGCCATTGGTCATCCAAATATAAATATGTACATAATACTCCCCCTTGGATGACCACTAGATTGCATTATTACGCTATCTCATACTGCCTCATTAAAAACCTTACCAGGAAAACCCAGTGGGAAAAACCATGGTTAAGGGAAAAAGAGTGCAGCGCGTATATGCTCCCCCTCATGACCACATCAGCTCAGGTCTTTGAGTCGTCGAACTCCAATTTCACGAACAAGCTTTACAAAGATTGTCGTCGGGAGTGACTTGGTGAATAAATCTGCTAGATTCTCACTTGAACGAACTTTTTGAACAATTATTTCACCACTCTTTTGAAGATCATGAGTGAAAAAGAACTTGGGTGGAATATGTTTTGTTCTATCTCCTTTAATATATCCTTCCTTTAATTGAGCAATGCATGCTGCATTATCTTCATACATGATCGTCGAGATCATTTTTCCTAGAGATAGTCCACACGATTCTCTGATGTGTCGAATTATAGATCTTAACCAAACACATTCACGACTTGCCTCGTGAATGGCTAGGATTTCAGCATGATTGGATGATGTGGCTGTTATAGTTTGTTTTGTGGATCGCCACGAAATGGCTGTACCACCACAAGTGAACAAATATCCTGTCTGAGATCTACCATTGTGGGGATCTGAGAGATATCCTGCATCTGCATATCCCACTAAATCCATCTTCGATGCACTCGAATAGAACAAGCCCATATCTGTTGTTCCACGAAGGTAACGAAGTAAATGTTTAACTCCATTCCAATGTCTTTTAGTGGGAGAAGAGCTATATCTTGCCAATATATTCACAGCAAACGATATATCGGGTCGTGTATGACTGGCTATATACATTAATGCTCCTATCGCACTAAGATATGGCACTTCAGGGCCAAGCAGATCTTCATCACTTTCTTGAGGTCTAAATGGATCTCTTTTCACATCAAGTGATCTTACAACCATTGGATTACTCAACGGGTGTGATTTGTCCATATAAAATCGCTTAAGCACTTTTTCAACATATCCTTCTTGATGCACAAAAATACCATCCTTCAAATGTTCAATCTGTAATCCAAGACAAAACTTTGTTCTTCCTAAATCTTTCATTTCAAACTCTTTCTTCAAGCAATCAACTGCTTTTGGAAGCTCTTCGGGAGTTCCAATGATGTTTATGTCATCAACATAAACTGATATTATAACAAACTCACTACCCGATCTCTTTAGAAAAACACATGGACAAATAGGGTCATTCGTGTATCCTTCTTTCATCAAATATTCACTGAGACGATTGTACCACATTCGTCCAGATTGTTTCAATCCATACAAGGATTTGTTCAATTTGATAGAAAAATTTTCTCGAGAATGTGTTTTGTTCGCTTCTGGCAAAGTGAATCCTTCAGGGAGTTTCATATATATATCATTCTCAAGTGATCCATACAAATAGGCTGTCACAACATCCATTAGACGCAGATCTAGTCCTTCTCGAACTGCTAGACTAATCAAGTATCGAAACGTAGTTGCATCCACCACAACGGTAACACACATTTTCGACGTGTTTGTTACCATGAACACTTTGTTCCTTGCTTCTTCTACCATCTTTTTTTCCACTTCTGGGGAAAAATGAGCTTTTGGAACTTTCACCACGACCATTACCACGGCCAAGATCTCGGCCACGGCCTCGAGCATGAGCATGACCACGCCCACGTCCTCGTCCATGTCCACGTCCATGTATTTTCCCATAAGGATATTGGGTGAACGTTGCCGCATTCGCTTCTGGGAATGGGGCGGCACCAGTAGGACGAGATTGGTGATTTTTCATTAGGAGCTCATTATTTTGTTCAGCAACAAGGAGACAAGAAATCAGCTCAGAATATTTCTTGAAACCTTTCTCACGGTATTGCTGCTGCAGGAGCACATTGGATGCATGAAAAGTGGAGAATGTTTTTTCCAACATATTTTCATCAGTAATATTTTCTCCACATAACAGTAGTTGTGAGGTTATTTTGAATAGCTCCGAATTATAATCACTCACAGATTTAAAATCTTGTAACCTCAAATGCATCCAATCATAACGAGCCTTAGGAAGAATCACAGTTTTTTGGTGGTCATACCGCTCCTTCAAATTAGTCCACAAAATAAGTGGATCTTTGACCGTAAGATACTCATTCTTCAATCCCTCGTGGAGGTGATGTCGAAGAAAGATCATTGCTTTAGCTTTGTCTTGATCTGATGCTTCATTGCCCTCTTTAATCGTGTCTCCAAGACCGTTGGCAGCTAAATGAATTTCAACATCTAGCACCCATGATAGGTAATTCTTTCCAGTGACATCAAGACCCACAAACTCAAGCTTTGAAAGGTTCGACATACTATCATTAAAATATACACAAATTAAGGTCAAAATTCAATAAATAAATATAGATTATTATCAAGACAAACGACTTATGTGACCCATGATATATCAATTTGATATTTTTACAAATATATAAATAAATTCGAATTTCAAAATAAAAAAATATATATTAAGAAGGAAATTATACCTTTGCATTCTCAAACAAAGATTTCATGTGTTGATTAATAAAGGAAATTATGTAAATTGAAATAGGACAATAAAAGAAACAATTTGGGAGAATCGACATACCTTGAGTAGAACAATTATGGATTTAACCTTTTCAAAAGGAAGAGTCTCGTGCTGATAACGTGTTATAAAACTAATGGAAATGTAAGCAACTACAAGAGAAGATTGGAGGAGGAAAGACACAAGAGAAGTGAGGGGAATAGTTCTTCTTATTCATTCACCATTTGTGATACAATAGTGTGCTCTATTTATAGGCACCCTTTGATAACCATTACATCTTTACATCAATGCATATGAATTAGAGATAATAATATAGGAATGGGAGTTACATGTAACTCCCAAGTGAGCATCTAATGTGGTAGGCCATTGGTCATCCAAATATAAATATTTACATAATAATATATGCAATATATATAGTGATTAATGAAATATATATTTCATGGTTGATGAAATATGATCACAATATCATATTTTGAATGATTATACGTCTTTGCTGATTTCATGGGTTCATTAAATATATTTGAAGTTTTAACTCATTTATTTATTAAACATTTTTATACTGATTCTATAAATATTTCAGAATGAGTACAGGATTTCTAAAACCTCGGTATCATAATTTCAAATTTGAGATTTGGAAATGAGGATGGTGGGGTGATGGTTTGTGAAACCCACACCTACTGCCTCGTGTAACTTTGGGTTTTTTTCTTCTCATTTTATGTTCGGTTTCTTCATCTAAAAAAAAAAAAAGATTCGAAGGACTAAATTTAAAAAACTGAAAGATAGGTTCCACCGAGATTTGAACTCGGGTTACTGGATTCAGAGTCCAATGTCCTGACCACTAGACCATGGAACCTGTTTTTGTTTCGAAATTTATTTTTCATTTATTTTCTAGTTAGTTACATGCAATGGCATGCATGTACCTTGAACTGTTCATTTGCCTCACATTTGGGCAGTGAGAAGATCGATGGATTCCATTAAAGCGAAGATGCTCTAATTTCTGTTAACTGGTATGTTCTACCATGTTTATGTGAATGAATGGACGTAGATTATACACGTTGTACTATTTTACTTCTTGTTTTGGGATTTCTCATTCTTCTAATTAATGGCCAATTCGACAAAGCTCCACTTTCTCAGCATTTTGGGTAAACAGAGAATGTGGGAGAATTGTAGGGTATCTTGGGATTCTGAAGATGGATCAAACAACCCCACGTCTCTGCTTCAGCCCTAAGCCACAGCTTGGAAAGGCTTTCTCTTCATTCATGGCTTAAAATGTCAGAAATTGATTCTACCCAACAAAAAAAAAATGTCAAAATTGAACGAAGATGATCCACTGAGCAAGCAATATCCTATTATTTTAGAACGCATGCCTAAGGCAATAGGCAAAAGTACC